CAGATCCTTCACTTTGTGGGTTTGAGGATGACCTACCTTCCCTAAGCTATTCTGACTTAGTTATTTCAGGGCAGAACTACTTTTCTCTATGTTCTGCACAGGCTCTTGAGAGGGATAATGGTTGTAGCCATGTCAGTCTAAAAAGCCAAAGCAGTCACTGTGGTAGAGTCGATATTGTCAAGTGGCCAGCTGGGTAGCTCGCCCCCCCAAGAGTCTTTGTGACCTCCTCTTTTATCTTCTCCTCCTCCAGATAACTATACACATATATAGATAGATGACCTAGATGTGTATTTCCATAGGCCCTCAGCCCTCCGGCTGAAGTGAGGGACGAGTCTTAGACGGAAATCCACACACCCACGTTCTCTCCTGCCACGTCTTTGGTGTTTATAGGAGTATGTTCAGTACCTGGATGTGCAGTTCCGCCTGTTCATCATCTGCTGTACTATGATGCTGAGGGCTCCACCACCCCTACACCCTCGCCTGGTCCACCGGTTGTCCAAGCATCCTCAGGTTTGTATTCAGCCACCAGGTTCCTCCCCGGAGCCTTTACCTCGACAAAAAAAAAAAGAAAGGAATCCACGCCTCCTGTCCTGGAGGATTGTTACCCATCTTTTGGCAATAAACAAAAAAACCCCCACAAAACATCAGTGCGATTACTCTCTCCTTCCCCTGTTCATGTCCTTATGATCGTGCCTTTTGCACCTCCTATTGGGGTCATCACAATACCTTCATCTCATTGAGGTCATCATTTATAATTTTCCTTGTACCCATTTTAGGGTCATTACGGTACCAGGCTTCGATAGTACCCCTCTATTACAGTCTTTACAGTAGTGCCCCTCTATTAGAGTCTTTACCTTTTCTCCGTGGGGCTTTGCTGGCTGCTGAGGAGATTGCAGGCAGTTCCTGACCCTGCCACTCCACCGTACCTTCCTCTAGAGCTCCTCCGGGGAGTTCCCTCTCTGCAGGAGCCTCCTGCCAGCCCTCCACGTGGCTCTCATAGATTCCTCCAGCATTGCTTGGCCCGGCTCCTTTGCTTCCGGTCCTGCGCTCTTCCCTCCTGCCTGCTCCAGGCTCCTCTTTATACTGTTGTTCGAGTTCTCAGCTCCTCCCCTCCAGAAACACCTGGGTAAGAAGGATTTCAGCTGGGTCCTTTGGGGCTGTGAGTCTGGGGTAGCTGCCTCTGGTTTTAGCACGGGCTCTCTCACTCTCTCACAGATATCTTTTACTAAAACAACTAGATAGTTGCAAAAAAAAAATCTTTATTTGCAAGCTTTGAGGCTCACAAACCCTTCCTCAGGCAAAGGAGAATGCAAAGATTGTAAAATTGAGATGGATTGAGACCCTGCTCACAGGATCATGAGACTCAGGATGACTTCTGTTTTAGAAGACTGCTTAAGTATCCCCCCAAGATGTCCTTTTGGGGTTCCCATCACCTAACTTCATAAGGATAGAAGCTAGAGCCCTGCAAGCGATCCCTTGGTGGGTGCCCCTCGGAGGAAGAAGCCTTACAGGAAGGTGTTCTGAAATTGTGAGACCTGTTTCTGATCTCTCCTTTCTTCTCAGCTCTGGGCACAGTTCCTTTGCATGGTGTCCACTAACTCCTTCAACACTGAGAAGGGCTGGCGGGAGCTATCAGGTGCTCCATTAACCTGGTTTTGAACCTTTTAGCCACGTTCCCTTTGTTGTTTTGTCATTTGTTGTCTTCCATAATCATTTGCAGTCCTGGCCCTGTGGCCTTCTTCCCCCAGTAATAGTGGGGGAAGGCCTTTAGCCTTGAGCAGGCTTTGACCTGCCCATGTCTACCCAGGACCTACAGGTGGGAATCCCCTGATTGGCAAATCTTCCCAAATGGGTGTCTGCACCCATGGGTATTGCCAGCCCAAGTGCTTTACTGAGGGAACAATAGTCCCCAGATTTAATTCAGTTTCTTCAGTAACTCAGCACATGTCTGCAGTCTCTTGGCAGCTTACCTCAATCAGGATCTTCTTAAGGGCATCCCTCTATCCCGCCAGCTCCTGCTGACATGTCCAAACCTGGAAATATTCTGGCAAGACTTCTTCCTTTGTGGATGGCCTTAAGACCTAAGTTTCCAGTGTGTTTTCCAGTAACTTTATATCCAGAGGTGATCTCAGAGCAGCCTCACTGGCATATTTTGGGGGCATGTACGTAGGAGCAGCTGGGCAGGGTGTGGACTTGTCCCCAGGTCGATCAACAGAGAAATCTCAGGCTGTTGTCCTAAGCCCACTCCAGATCTAGTTAGCTCCTGGACTCCAGCTCCTGACTCTGCCTGATCTTTGGAGTCATACTTCCTAGCTTTAGTCCTAACCTCTGAACTTGACCGCCCACGCTCCAGTCATTATAGTAGTGCTCCATCTGTACTAGGCGATCTGTACTTAGTCACTGATTTATGTTGTTTCCTTCGCTGATCGCTTAAGATAGGTTTCACTGTATGCAGAAAAGAAGATTTGCCTGGCCCCCGCTTCATGATGATGGCAAGTTTAGGAAATAACATGGCATTTGTGTGCGGCTGTGGTGCTGAGTCACCGAACAATGAAAGTGCAAGAAAATGCATTTCTCTTCTGAAAGGCTTGTAATTTCCTGTTGTTCATGAGGAAGGTGCTGTAAAGAGGGAAAGAAGTTGGGAGAACAAAAGCAAGGTATAAATAAAGAAGTGCACAGAGTATAAGGCATTTGGCCTAATTTGTTTTACCTCCACTTGTTCAGAGGCTGAAATGGGAAGCTGTGGTACAAGTTGGGCAGACTAGAGGCCCTCTGCCTCTGCCTGTCTTTCAAAGGCTTCAGCAAAGCTTTGACTCAACAAGGTCTCCGCTCCTAACAGGCCTCCCTCTCCCTTAAGCCCACATTCTCCTTAGTTTAATGAGATCTCAGTGTCCACGTTTTTCCCCTTCCCTCTCTCTTCCTGGAAGATAGTGCCAGGCTCAGTGGAACTGCCAGAAATATAATGAGCAAGGAGTTTCAAAGCCCTTGCAGACTCTACCTGGAAGATGGTAATTCAAGTAATACATCCTCCAGGGAGCAGTAAGGGGTCAAGTAACTGGTACACATACCAAAGCAGTGAAATAGGGTACACGTGCATAGGCATCTGGGTGGTAACTTGTGATTGGTTTTTTTATGCAGTCATAATCTGATTGATTTCTATAGTTATTCAATGGGTAACAAAGATTTAAAAGATGCAATTGTTCTATCACAATTCAGATGTGTAGCCCTGTGCACTTCACTTGCCAGCCAGCTTGATCAGCTGGCTAGCAGTGATTAAAGGCTCTCTGGTTATACTCGCTGTGTCATTTCTTTAAGCTTAATATGTACTACATACAGCAAGCCAGGGTTGAACCATGTGGGGCCAAGGGCTCGCCAGTCTAGCCACCTGTAACAACATACAGGACTGTGCAAGCTATTGCCATGCGATATGCTGTGCTCGATGACAATCTAATAATTCATCTTTGAGCAAGCTCAAAACAGGCAAAACAACTGCTGTTCAAAAGAGTACTTCACTTGGATAAATTGAGTCATTAAATACACTGGTTGTCATACAGGGGCCAGTTAAAGCTTCGCTTGCTAATAAAAATGCTGTCATCACAGAGCTTAATAGAAGCAAACTATGTGGACATGTCCACTAGAAGTAGACAAATGCTATTTGAAAGCATAGAAAAATTCTTCTGCCTGAACAAAGAAACGTAACCAATGCAATGGTGCTGCTCACCTCAAAACCTGTGTCGGGTTTGTCCATCACTAAATTGGATACTAATTTGCTGAGAATGATTTTAACACTGCAGGGGCAAAAAACATATTTGTCTTCTGCATAGCATGTACTTAATTGATGTACCTTGGAAGTGATGATTATCCTTGCTGGCAAAAACTCTTGTGCAAAGGGCCAAGTCGCAGGCTATGATCCCTTATGTCCCCCATAAGCCTTCAAAACAGGACTTCAGTGAGACTTAAATGGAGGATAGGCCTTCTGCAGCCTGCTGGCACAGGGATGATTGTCACCCCAGTTTTCTAAAGGTAAATGTAGTTTTTCATTCCTTTTAACAGCTCATTGTGCATTGTTATGGGCAGATTAATGAGGTCATTGCTCTTCGGTTGTGGGTTTTGCCTTTACAATTCATTTCTAGATGTTAAAATTAATACAAAAACTCCCCACACCACTTGCTCTCCATTATGGCCAGACTTGGGAGCACTGACAGGGAAGCACGCTCATGCCAAGATGTTTGGTGCTGGGTCCTGAAAGTTCAATAGAATATCTAAACAGAAGTTGCCTGATTTTTTCAGAAGAGCTGAATTTGAACTTTTTGTTGCTCAGCACCTTGGAAAATTGCTCCTCTTTTATTAAGGGGCCCACATACAGACCGAAGTGCCAAAGCTAAGGAGGAGCATGATGGTATTCAGGAGGAAATATGCAGCTGCTTCCGACACTGACACAAATGTAAAAGGTGGCCCCCTCCCCTCCCTACGAGAAAACTGGCTTATTAAATGGATGTTATAAAGGCTTAGGGCAGAGATGTTTAAGAGCATTTAAAGTGATTTAGGACTCTAACCTGACATTTCAAAGGTGACTTAGGGGTCTAAATCTCATTGACTTTCAATAAGACGGGGGTCCTAGGTGCCTAAGTCACTTTTTGGAAGTGGTTCTCATGGAAGGTAAAAGAAGTTAAAAGGTAATAGGGGCTTTTCCTGCAGAACAGCTAATGTTGGCAACTGTATCTGCTGCTATTCTTCAGTAAGTAAAAGTGAATCTGGGATGTGCCTGGATGAAGTGGTTCTAAGTTGTCCCAGTTTAGCTTTCTTTTCCTGCAAGGCAGCTGTGGACACAAACATGAATGGTTACGGTGAAGCAGCTCTTCTCTGGTAGATGCTTGCCTCCTGTTAACTCACTTGAATTTGTCTGCGTCCATGGGTTTCTAACAAAGGAAGACACATGAAGTGTTTGTATGCTGGTTTATCAGTTTGACAGTTACTTATTGTGATACCTTTTGTTTCAGCTGTTTCCACTACTTGGAATAAAGACCAGTACAGGAGAAGCAGGATGAAAATATGGCCGACTTCTTGTTACCACCGGGTACTAACAGCTTCCACCGGTTCACGCCTGAATCCTTGGCTGCTATTGAGAAGCGCATTGAGGAGAAGCACACAAGGACCACCAAGCAGGAGAACAAGGAACAGGTGGGAGAGGAAGAAAAGCCTCGACCTCAAGTTGACTTACAGGCTTGCAAAAAGCTGCCTGAACTCTATGGGAATCCTCCCCCAGAGCTCATTGGGGAACCACTGGAGGATCTCGACTCTTACTACAGCGATCACAAGGTGGGGAGTGTTCTGCCTCTTTGCCTTTGTTTAAGATGAGAAATGGTTGCTGGTGAGAACTCTGACTTTCATCCTTGCTTGCACAGTGGTCGGTAAAAATGATTTCTTCTGGTTTAAAGATCGGAGAGCTAATATGGACAGAATTTCCAATGAATAAGCAGCAGGGTATAGCAGGCTAAAAGCTTGATTATGAGTTGCAGAGGTCAGCTAACAGTGAATACAGCTCTATTGGTGCACAGGAGCAGAATATGAGTTGAGCTGAATGGACTGGTAGGTTTTATCTCTTGTGGGATATTCACTGCAGCACCTAGATTCTTGGAAAGGTCCTGTGCATCGCTTAAGCAATATTTATACACCCTTGTTTTAAGGGTGTATATGGAGCACTGAGCTGGACCTCTGCACAGGAATGAATACCATCTTCCTAGCCTAAGATGGACCCATGCAAGCCTTTCCTGAAGAGGGAAATTCAGCTCTGCTGAGAGCCACAACAAGCCCAGATGCCTCTTAGTCTCACATAAGTTGTCGAAACAGGTCTCATACGTGATGTAAGTGGTGCATTGTGCCAGCTCCCTGCACAAGGGTAAACTTCATCCTAGAGCAAGTGTCACCTCATGAGAATCATGTGTGGGTTGGACCAATGCCATTGTGCTACAAACAGTTTCTCTCCAAAGACTGTTGACAGCACGGTGGCATTGCTCGCTTACTACACTTTGTTTTCCTGTGTGCCAAGCATTTGGCAATGTGGTGAGAAAAGAACTGGATGCAAGCACTTCTTCTCAGACAAACCCCAATCCTTTCGGGTGCAAGGGGGTGGTGTGCTCTTGTCTCTGTTTCCACTGTAATCCCATAGATAAAGTTCTTGCATCTTTCCCTGACGGCGTTTTCATGAACAGGTTTTGAAATGTAAACAGCAAAAGTAACCCAAGGTCAATGGACTTGAAGAAGTAGGTGCTTTGTTTGGGGGCATGGACTCATGAACTAGTTACCACCAGGTAACGGTGGTGAAAATTTATTGTGCATCAGCTGCTCTTCAGAAACTGCCTGTGTGCCTGCTTTTACCCTGCAGAAAATAAAGGCTAAGACATAGGAGCTTAGCTGTCAGTGCAAGAAGGGTAAGCTTTTATTCACTGCAGAGTAAGCCTGCATGCACATAGGCTGCTGTCACAGGGCAGCTGCGATGTAGTCAGTCCATGGCCCTTTTACTTTGTGGTAACCAAGTTGTGCCCTTATATTAGCAGGGCCTGGACACTAATGTATGTTGGGTTTGTACATTGGCATAATGAGGTCAAGAATGGGTACATGACCATTGACTCGAGGTGACTGCCACAGTAGGTGCTAATAGAGCATCATGCTATTAAGTGGTAGGGGGATTAAGTAATAGCCTGTTTGCAAATGGCTAAGGGTGGGGGGGATTACTGCAGACATAGGCTGTTTACATGATTGGTGTACGTTATTTTGGTGTGTCTTTACAGTACTTATTCCACTGGCAGCTGTACACCAGAATCTACCAGTGTAGGCCTATACATCACGTGTTCGATTCTCAGGTGTAAAAGCAGGTTACACCAATGTAAACTTGTTGCATGTCACAAAAATCAAACCATGAATACCTAGAGCTACGTTGCTTTTGCCTGGAGATGCTGGATTTTAGTCTGGAAAATCAGAGGGTCAGATTGTTAATCGGTGAATTGCAAAGTTACCTGTAGTTCACTTTTGAAAAGCCTGATCCTGCTGCTGTAGCGTGTGGGTAGGCCCCTCTAGGCAGAAGTAAGGTATTGCAGGGCCTGCTCTAAATGCAGTTGGGCAAATTGTCAGTGTCCCAGTATTGCCCAAAACTGCAGTCCCCTGACTGGTTTGGCTTAGGGTCACCCCATCCATACGGGTTGCCTCCAAACCATTTACATTGTGGAAGCACCTGAGGGACTCAACCTATATATAAACGGCAGTCCCTGCCCTGAACAATGTGCAAACTAAAGCCAGGGCAAAACGTGTAGATGAGACAAATGTGGGAATTTGGTGTGAAGGAGATTCGGTAAGAAAGCCAAAAGATGGAGGGAGAGGAATCTGCCTTGAGCAGCGGGGAGTCAGCAGCTCAAAGATCTGTGACAAAGGATATTTGAAGCATTGCTTATGGGGGTGAGGAGTGCTCTACCACTGGGAATGATTTGGGAGGAAAACTGGTCATAGGGTGAAAAGGGACCTTTTGCAGCTGGGCAGGCGTTGAGAAGGATGTTTGGGGCGTACAAAAGGAGGGAATTTGCATGTGGGAGGTGGCCTGGGGCACAAGTGCAATAACTAAATGTTCTCCTATTTCCTATTTTGTTTTCCAGACATTTATAGTACTGAACAAAGGGAAGACAATCTTTCGATTTAGTGCCACTCCTGCCATGTATATACTTAGCCCTTTCCATCCCATCAGAAGAGCAGCAATTAAAATTTTGGTACATTCATATCCTTTCAGTTGATTTCT